TAAATAATAATAAAAAAATTTAAACAAATATTATAAAATGTAGGTTATCAATATAGAACAAAAGAATGGTGTGGAAACATTTTTCACTCAGAAATTGCCAGTACGTTTCACAAATAATTACAAAGAAGCAGCAAGTGACATTGAATTAAATGTGAAACTTTGGAGTTGAAAGACTGAAAGACTCATCCTCCAATAATCTTTTTCGTAACGGCTCACGGTTTGGGATGCTCACTTTCACTACGACGGACGCTATAACGACGACCACTGCTCTCGCGTCCTCCGTCTGAGACACGAACGTCCTTCACTTCACAACAAAACTACTGTACGCCGAACCAACAAACAACATCAGTGTGAATATAAACACGAATAATGTTTCATATTTCACAAAATAAAAGCTTTCCGATTCTTATATTTACTGTATATAAACAACAAAAAAAGCAACAACATTTTATATTGTATTTGGAGACATGACAATATATTTTAGCTTAGTTTCTCACATTACTGTGCTACAGAAAAAATGTTGCTTTGGATAAAAGCACTTGCTAAACTTATAAATGAACATGAGCTGTAAATGTGCTCATCCTCAGGCCATCAGAGATCAGGATGAGTTTGTTTCTTCATCAGGTTTGGAGAAATGTAGCACTGCATCAGTGTCTCAGCAATGGATGCTCTGCAGTGAATGGGTGCCGTCAGAATGAGAGTCCAAACAGCTGATAAAAACATCACTTTACGTTTTCATCACAATATGACTATCACAGCATTCTTAGAAATGATCTAAACATAATACAAAATTACGGTAACACTTTAGAATAGGGAACACTTATTCACTATTAACTATGACTTTTCCCTCAAATTCCTAATTTGCTGCTTATTAAGTTAATAAGGTAATTGTTAAATTTAGGTATTGGGTAGGATTAGGGATGTAGAATAAGGTCATGTAGAATAAGGCATTAATATGTGCTTAATTACTACTAATAAATGGCTAATATTCTAGTAATATGCATGCTAATAAGCAACTAGTTAAGATACCCTAAAATAAAGTGTTACCAAAATTACTAGTACATTGGTATACAGTAACATTATCACAACATTAATGAACATTAGCTGAAAAATGTGCTCACTCTCAGGCCATCGAAGATGTAGATGAGTTTGTTTCAACGTCCTACGTCATCCGCCGGAATGAACGCGCGTACAACAGTTAGCGGAGATTACAGTTTATAAAGTTTTAAATATAGATATTTTTCTTACACAAACACATTGATTCGCTACAGGGGGCCTTTATTCACCTCCGGAGCCGTGTGAGACGCTTTTAATGATGGATGGATGCTCTTTATTGAACTTCTTTTGGACTATTGCAAAATAACACCCATTCACTGCCATTATAAAGCTTGGAAGAGCCAGGACGTTTTTTTATATAACTCAGATTGGATTCGTCTGAAAGAAGAAAGTCATACACACCTAGGATGGCTTGAGGGTGAGTAAATAATGGGCTAATTTTGGGTGAACTATCCCTTTAAAGATTTGAGGAATAAAAAAGCAAAATGATTGTATAGAATTCCTGAATGATTTATTGTAAAATTAAGATATCACCCTATGTTTGTTCGTATGTTTGCAATACAGTATCATCCTCTATATATGTAGCCTATGTATGTACGTTTCTGTCTAAAAATCTTAGTGTTTAATCATCTATTTCCATGTCATTGAAATATTACAGTGACATGTTTAAATCATGCTAAATATCTAGACACACACACACACGCGCGCGCGCGCGCAATACTTTGTGTTGATTGTATTTTGTCAGACCTCAAAAACCGCAAAGAAAACAAGTTCATATTCACTTTTAAGCAATACAACAGTAATATATTTAGGAAAGTAAAAATTCAACTCAAATGGCATCTTATCCTTCAGTCTTTGAAACAAAACAAATTCGGCCCGTGTGTTCAAAAAACGTCCTTGGAGCAAAACCAAAACAATATAAATGATGTTAATAGAGCTATTGAACCCATTTCTCTTCGTGGTGTATTTGGTAGACGGTCCCTCTTGGTTTCATTTCCGTGTCAAGGCTGGGTGACTGTCAAATATCAAAAATCAAACCAGCTTTATTGGGGGTTTACCTTATTTACTTTAACATTTTACTGTCTGCAGTTGCACTGTTCACGTGCATCTCCTATTGATTTCTATGGGACGTCCAGTACAGAGGGAGGGGCATTAACCCAAGGGCGGAATAAATACCAGATCATACATATACAACTCCCATTTAGATCTTGTAGCGCTCACTTTTTATGCTTTTTGATTTCTCAATCCGGATTTGATCAAACTAAGGCATGGACATCAGGTGAGTTGACAATGTCAGTGTTATATCTGCAGGCCTGCATGAGGACTTAATAAATATCCCGCTTGACTAAGTAATGAACTTTGCATGGAAAATATCAACCCGATCTCATGAAAGTGCGTATAAATAGTATGCCAAATAAAAATGAAAACTCGTGGTATTGATATGCAAAAATGGACTTTGGCGTGCATATGATACGCAGTTTTCGCGTGCATATGATACGCATCTTATTTGCGTACTATTTATACGTATTTTCATGAGACCGGGCTCAGAATATATAAAACAAGAAGAAAAATAATTCAGCCTGATTTAAGTAACGTTACAGATGAGATCAGTGTTACTTGCACCATGTAACCCCATCATCATCATCATCATCATCATCATCAGTTGACAGCTTTCTCCAATACTGTGAGGAGTTTATGGTTTAAGAAAAATAATGCGAAAATGCTGCTAAACGTGGAAATGTCATGTTTAAAGCCATTACAGAGTATTTTACATGTATCACATGCTCTTGCTCACCTAAATTTGGAATCGTATCACACAAAACAATTTTGAGTGCAATGCGCAGTTTGTAATGGAAAAAAGTCAAACATCACCAGCTGCCAGACATGTTTTTTTACAGCGCTGCACATTATAATCAATCACACACGATTCTGTTGAGCGTACAAATGCAGCGGCCAATCAGAGGCGTTCAGATGAGTCAGCACGCGCTCGCTGACTGAATTCTGCTCTCTGGCGAATTTTCTCATCATGTAAGAGGACTTAACTTCTGGACCTTTGACAGCGAGGGGTGGGTCGTTCGAACGGGCCTGAAGGGCTAATAGTATTGCAGCCATTTGCTAAAATCATTTAAGTTAATTGTTTTCTCATTAATGTACACACAGCACCCCATATTGACAGAAAAACACAGCATTGTTGACATTTTTGCAGATTTATTCAAAAAGAAAAACTGAAATATCACATGGTCTTAATTATTCAGACCCTTTGCTCAGTATTTAGTAGAAGCACCCTTTTGATCTAATACAGCCATGGGTCTTTTTGGGAAAGATGCAACAAGTTTTTCACACCTGGATTTGGGGATCCTCTGCCATTCCTCCTTGCAGATCCTCTCCAGTTCTGTCAGGTTGGATGGTAAACGTTGGTGGACAGCCATTTTTAGGTCTCTCCAGAGATGCTCAATTGGGTTTAAGTCAGGGCTCTGGCTGGGCCATTCAAGAACAGTCACAGAGTTGTTGTGAAGCCACTCCTTCGTTATTTTAGCTGTGTGCTTAGGGTCATTGTCTTGTTGGTATAACAAACTTTTGCTATAAGTTTGATTGCATCATATAATAATTGCTGTTAATATTGTTCATCGTCTGTTTTATTACGTCTTATATTGATTTTTCCGTTCTGCTGGTTCGTCTGGTCAGAGGAGAACTGGCCCCCCGACTGAGCCTGGTTTCTCCCAAGGTTTTTTCTCCATTCTGTCACCGATGGAGTTTTGGTTCCTTGCCGCTGTCGCCTCTGGCTTGCTTAGTTGGGGACACTTCATTTCCAGCGTTATCGTTGACATGATTGCAAAGATATTATTTAAACTGAGCTGGATGTTGACATCACTGAATTTAATGATGAACTGTCTTTAACTGAAAAATGAGTGTTTACTATTGTCATTTTGCATTATTGACACTATTTTCCTAATTAATACTGTTCAGTTGCTTTGTCACAATCTGTATTGTTAAAAGCGCTATATAAATAAAGGTGACTTGACTTGACTTGACAGCCATTATAAAGCTTGGAAGAGCCAGGACGTTTTTAATATAACTCAGATTGGATTCGTCTGAACGAAGAAAGTCATACACACCTAGGATGGCTTGAGGGTGAGTTAATAATGGGCTAATTTTGATTTTTGGGTGAACTATCCCTTTAAAGATTTGAGGAATAAAAAAGCAAAACGATTGTATAGAATTCCTGAATGATTTATTGTAAGATTAAGATATCACCCTATGTTTGTTTCTTTCTTTTTGGATGTTTGCAATACAGTATCATCCTCTATATATGTAGCCTATATATGTACATTTCTGTTAAGCAATAAAAAACAATCTTAGTGTTTAATCATCTATTTCCATGTCATTGAAATATTACAGTGACATGTTTAAATCATGTTAAATATCTACACACACACACACACGCGCGCAATACTTTGTGTTGATTGTATTTTGTCAGACCTCAAAAACCGCAAAGAAAACAAGTTCATATTCACTTTTAAGCAATACAGCAGTAATATATTTAGGAAAGTAAAAATTCAACTCAAATGGCATCTTATCCTTCAGTCTTTGAAACAAAACAAATTCGGCCCGTGTGTTCAAAAAACGTCCTTGGAGCAAAACCAAAACAATATAAATGATGTTAATAGAGCTATTGAACCCATTTCTCTTCGTGGTGTATTTGGTAGACGGTCCCTCTTGGTTTCATTTCCGTGTCAAGGCTGGGTGACTGTCAAATATCAAAAATCAAACCAGCTTTATTGGGGGTTTACCTTATTTACTTTAACATTTTACTGTCTGCAGTTGCACTGTTCACGTGCATCTCCTATTGATTTCTATGGGACGTCCAGTACAGAGGGAGGGGCATTAACCCAAGGGCGGAATAAATACCAGATCATACATATACAACTCCCATTTAGATCTTGTAGCGCTCACTTTTTATGCTTTTTGATTTCTCAATCCGGATTTGATCAAACTAAGGCATGGACATCAGGTGAGTTGACAATGTCAGTGTTATATCTGCAGGCCTGCATGAGGACTTAATAAATATCCCGCTTGACTAAGTAATGAACTTTGCATGGAAAATATCAACCCGATCTCATGAAAGTGCGTATAAATAGTATGCCAAATAAAAATGAAAACTCGTGGTATTGATATGCAAAAATGGACTTTGGCGTGCATATGATACGCAGTTTTCGCGTGCATATGATACGCATCTTATTTGCGTACTATTTATACGTATTTTCATGAGACCGGGCTCAGAATATATAAAACAAGAAGAAAAATAATTCAGCCTGATTTAAGTAACGTTACAGATGAGATCAGTGTTACTTGCACCATGTAACCCCATCATCATCATCATCATCATCATCATCATCATCATCATCATCAGTTGACAGCTTTCTCCAATACTGTGAGGAGTTTATGGTTTAAGAAAAATAATGCGAAAATGCTGCTAAACGTGGAAATGTCATGTTTAAAGCCATTACAGAGTATCACATGCTCTTGCTCACCTAAATTTGGAATCGTATCACACAAAACAATTTTGAGTGCAATGCGCAGTTTGTAATGGAAAAAAGTCAAACATCACCAGCTGCCAGACATGTTTTTTTACAGCGCTGCACATTATAATCAATCACACACGATTCTGTTGAGCGTACAAATGCAGCGGCCAATCAGAGGCGTTCAGATGAGTCAGCACGCGCTCGCTGACTGAATTCTGCTCTCTGGCGAATTTTCTCATCATGTAAGAGGACTTAACTTCTGGACCTTTGACAGCGAGGGGTGGGTCGTTCGAACGGGCCTGAAGGGCTAATAGTGTATTTTACTGCATTGCGGATGCAAGCGTTGACCCTCACTGTAATCTGGTCATGGTCTTACAGGGCAATGACTGTAAGGCAAACCATCATCATGATCATCTTAATTTCTTCGCATCATCATCATCATCATCATCATCATCATCATCATCATCATCATCATCATCATCATCATCATCATCATCATCATCATCATCATCATCATCATCATCATCATCATCATCATCATCATCATCATCATCATCATCATCATCATCATCATCATCATTGCACCATGTAACCCCATCATCATCATCATCATCATCATCATCAGTTGACAGCTTTCTCCAATACTGTGAGGAGTTTATGGTTTAAGAAAAATAATGCGAAAATGCTGCTAAACGTGGAAATGTCATGTTTAAAGCCATTACAGAGTATTTTACATGTATCACATGCTCTTGCTCACCTAAATTTGGAATCGTATCACACAAAACAATTTTGAGTGCAATGCGCAGTTTGTAATGGAAAAAAGTCAAACATCACCAGCTGCCAGACATGTTTTTTTACAGCGCTGCGCATTATAATCAATCACACACGATTCTGTTGAGCGTACAAATGCAGCGGCCAATCAGAGGCGTTCAGATGAGTCAGCGCGCGCTCGCTGACTGAATTCTGCTCTCTGGCGAATTTTCTCATCATGTAAGAGGACTTAACTTCTGGACCTTTGACAGCGAGGGGTGGGTCGTTCGAACGGGCCTGAAGGGCTAATAGTGTATTTTACTGCATTGCGGATGCAAGCGTTGACCCTCACTGTAATCTGGTCATGGTCTTACAGGGCAATGACTGTAAGGCAAACCATCATCATGATCATCTTAATTTCTTCGGATATTTTCTAAACTAGCTAATTGTCAAAATTATTACAATAACAATTACATCATTACAATATCTTTATGGTAAATTCCTAATACTGAACATGTCGTTGCATTATTAAGAGTCATATTTTTCCCTTACGAAAATTAACCATCGTTCATTTTTGTAATGGTTGTTGTGGTCTGCACTCCTTTTGAACTTGTTATAAAACGATGTGAATATTTGTCTGCTAAATTACTACTGCAACATCGCAATAGATAATAATGATGTGCATACAGTGTTTTGAGTGATGAGTAAGGGGTTACTAGTAACAAGCAATAGCAGTTTAATACTTAACTTATACTTAAAGTGAACAAAGATAAAACTACAATAGCCTATTTACAGATGAAACTGACCAGCACTGGAAGTCCTGAACAGGTCAGTAGTTTTTCCTCTCTGCTCCACCTGGACTCTTCCACTCCAGTCTCTCGCATGGATTACTCTCAGCGGAGCGCGCGTGCAGAAGCGTCACAACTACTATTTCATGATTTATTGGAGACTTTTTATCCAATGGTGACTTCGGAAATAATCGCTTTAGTACACTCGGCAGGCAATTATTAATATATAAAAAAATAAAAAATAATTATATATACAGTACATATATATATATATAAACAGGGCAACGGGCCACGTCGGTTGCCAGGCCAACGGGAATTCTCCAGGTTCTCCAGATGGAAAGTCCGCACCTGTCAGCAGGTAAATAAACTGGTACTTTCGCTTTATCACGAAAATGCAGCAAATTAAAAGTCATTTTAAGCAATTTATTGAGACAAACAACACATTTTTTTGTTTTGTTTTAACATGATTTATTGGAGACTTTTTATCCAATGGTGACTTCGGAAATAATCGCTTTAGTACACTCGGCAGGCAATTATTAATATATAAAAAAATAAAAAATAATTATATATACAGTACATATATATATATATAAACAGGGCAACGGGCCACGTCGGTTGCCAGGCCAACGGGAATTCTCCAGGTTCTCCAGATGGAAAGTCCGCACCTGTCAGCAGGTAAATAAACTGGTACTTTCGCTTTAACACGAAAATGCAGCAAATTAAAAGTCATTTTAAGCAATTTATTGAGACAAACAACACATTTTTTTGTTTCGTTTTAACAGTCAAATACAAAATAAAAATTAAACAAAAATCTAATATGTTTTAAATGCAAATTAAATGGGTTAAACTTGTCTTGTCTCCCGAGGCCACAGGAGGGCGCAATGAGCAAAATAATGCAGCGCATTAAACTGTCAACGCAAGGAAATAACTGTCTATAAAAAAAAGTGCATTACGTCTAAATTAACTGTTTTGTTTTAACAGTCAAATACAAAATAAAAATTAAACAAAAATCTAATATGTTTTAAATGCAAATTAAATGGGTTAAACTTGTCTTGTCTCCCGAGGCCACAGGAGGGCGCAATGAGCAAAATAATGCAGCGCATTAAACTGTCAACGCAAGGAAATAACTGTCTATAAAAAAACGTGCATTACGTCTAAATTAACTCATATAAATCAAATATAATTTCGTAAATTGCATAAACAATTATGAACAAAACAGCATCATGTATTTATGCATTGCTTAATCCAAAGAGCCGAAGCGCCGATCACACAGACTGCATTTAAAAACATAAGAGACGCAGTGAAAAGGAAAAAAAGCTCCACAAATTCGTGACCTGTTTTCTAAAAGTTTAAACTGTTTTAACTTTGCATGACTACATCTCTCGTGTGAGACGTGAGTGCAGCGGTCGTATTTGTCCGTCTAGAAAATGCACTGAATATGCGTTCTGTGTGAATGGCTTGGTTTCAGTTGGAACGTAATCTAGATCTTCTCCGCACTGAGCTTCTGTATTTCTCTAATATTGTGAATGAATAACGCAGCAGCGGCGCGTTTTGTTAGGCTAACAAAACATTAAACTACAACGTCACTTACATCATCACTGATGACACACATTTAACATTTGATTGTGCTATTTTTGCATTCAAATGCAAATGTTTATTTTAAATTCGAGTAATATTAATTCTTTACCCACAATCTCCTCATCACAGGCACAGCACTCATGTTCGTGTTTGTGTGTGCTGTCTGCGTCACTCATAGCACGTGCCTATATCCTGCGCTATTTTTATATTGTTATCGAAAAAGGTGTACCGTCGATAAATATCGATACCGTATCGCTTTATCGCGTACCGATAAATATCGCCAAGGCCTTTGAAGACCCCTGCTTTAATAAATAACATTCATGCTAGCCTTTCACCTGGAGGTGGATACATTTACATTTACATTTACATTTACATTTAGTCATTTAGCAGACGCTTTTATCCAAAGCGACTTACAATTGGGGGATACATAAAGCGATTCTTCTTAAGAGAGGCAAACAGACACAAGAAGTGGTTGTAATACCAAGTTCTTAGACATTGTTCAAATAAGTACAAGCTAGAAAGAGAAGGAATAAATAA